ATGGGTTTCTGAAGAGCAGCTGGTGGGTTTGAACAGCTGACCTTGTGTTTAGCAGTCCAGGGCTTATCCTACAGCATCACACCAGGACTCTAGACATGCACATGTGCTCTCTCTCTCTCTCTCTCTCTCTCTCTCTCTCTCTCACACACACACACACACTCACACAGACACACGCATACAGAGTCCTGGTGTGGTACAGTAGGGTAGCACTGGACCGAAAGTTTGATTGAACCACAAGGTCGGCAATTCAAATGCGCCAGCTGCTTCTCCAAAACCCTATACAGGAGTTCTTGATGAATCAGAACCAACTCGATCGACAGCACTTAGCAACAACGAATATATATTTATATAATTAAAAGGTGAAGTGGTAAACATTGTCTTTGTTAGGCATGTATCTATGTTAAAATGTATATACACAATTTTATACAGACAGAAGGACTGGAATGGAAGGAAACTTGCTTTGCATTGTTTTTATCATGATATTTGAATTTTTTATTTTATTTTATTTTTTGTCATATATGCAGTGCTTTTTTGTGGCAGATTTGTAAAGATACAGTTCACATACCTTAAGAGTCAGCAAAGTATACAATTTACATTTAGGTGTCCTTTTCCAAGGTTGTGCAACCATCACCACAATCTAATTTTAGACCCTTTTATTGCCCTAAAAAGGAATCTTCTACTCCACTACCAATATAAACACCCCCCCATCCCTGCCCCCAATACCTCACCCAGCTCTAGGCCGCTATTAGTCTACTTTCTGTCCATAGATTTGAATATTCTGGGCTTTTCATATAAATGGCATCATACAACAGGTTTATAACTGGCATTTTTCACTCACTGTAAGGTTTTTGGAGTCCATTCGTGCTGTAGCATGATACTATTTTTTCTTTTTTTACTTCAAATATTTATTTATGTAAATAAAACAAAACAGGTACAACTCAACCTTTTTTTTTTTTAATAAAAAAATTATTTTGTTGTTGAAAGTATACACAACAAAACACGAGCAATATACCAATCCAACCATTTCTACATGTACAGTTTAGTGACATTCTTTGAGTGTTGTAGCCATTCTTAACCTCTTTCTCTGAGTTGCTCTCATTGCTACATTAACATGAACTCATTGGACCCCCAGGTTCCTGTCAAATTTTTAGAGTTGCTGTTGTTACATTGGTCTCATATAGGTAGTTCATATCTAAATGAGATCAGTGGCCATTCAACCGTGAATGCACCTGAATTCATTTGGTCTCAGAAGCTAAGCAGAGGTGGGCCTGCTTAGTACTTGGATGGGAGACCGCATGGGAAGATGGTGTGCTGTAAGCTTTTGGAGTCCTGGTGTGGTGTTGTGGGTTAATGTGCTGGACTGCAAAGTCAGTTTGAACAGCAAAGTTGGCAGTTCAAGCTCACCAGTCATTCCTTGGAAAACCTATACACGGTCACTATGGGTCAGAACTGACTCTACCGCACTCAACAGCAACAACAAAAGAGCATAATGCTTAAATCAGACATATTTTACCAGTTAAGCCAGATGATCCTTTGGTTTTAAGAAAACTTCAGGAGACATTTTTGGTTTAAGATTTAAATACTATCTTAAGGCAGTAGTTTCAAGGGTTAATAATACAGCCCCCATGGCTCCAGGAAATCTGGAATTCTTGAGAATTTGAAATTCTGTTCTTCATTTTTACAATTTAAATGTTTAATAATGGTAGCCAAGCACTGTTCATTTCTTCTGCTCTCAGGGCAGAGAATGCAGTTGTTGAAGGAGTTAACCAGCCATACGTTTCATATCCTTGGTCTGTTCTTGACGCTGCTTCATTCTCTATTGCTCTGGGCGAATGGAGACCATTTGCCTTGCCTTGGATGGTGCTTGCAATCTTGTAAGACTCCAGATACTATGCAACAAACTAGGGAGGTCAAACAGAAGTACTAGATAGATGTATTATCGGGTCAATTAGCTGGGATGCCATGATACCATGGCCCTTAACTTCTAAACCATAAAGTATGTGGGTATGACCTGTGGCAAAGAGAAAATATCCTTTAGTATTCAGTGGAAGGTTTACATTTATTTGGAAAAGTACTTTGTTAAAATCATAATGATTAATAAACTAGAACAATTAATTTAAAAAATTAAAAACCTTACATAGCTAAAAATGCAATTATCTTTTAGCATCATGAAATAACATAATATTAAACATATTTTATATTGTTTCCATCTTTTTCAGTAAGTTCCAAAGCCCTTCTAATGGTTTTCATTGATCTTGTCTTTCTGATTTATCTCTCATGTCATCAGTGTCTCTGCTAACCTGTCTCTGATTCCTTGACCACTTTGTATGAAATACCCGTGCCCACATTTCTGCATTTCTCTTTCCTTACTCTTCCTTATTTTACTCCAGAACTACCTGCCCTGTCGGACACACTACGGTTCTTTTACTTTTTTCTCTCCTAAGAAGATAAGTCCCGTGAGGGCAAGGACTGCTCATTTTGATATTCTGCTCTAAGTATTGGCTCTTTGCCTCAAACATACTCATTTTCCAATAAATGTGTGCTGAATGAATTGATCGCTTGTACTTGGATAGCCCTTTGAGTCCCCTTTTGTACAGATTTTCACCTATACAAAGCAGACTCCAAATGCAGGAATGATTTGAAAGATTTCAAAACGACTGCATTTTTAAACCAAAACAAAACAAAACTTGTTACCATCAGATTGATTCCTGTTCTTCGCACCCGCATGAGTTATAGAGTAGAACTTTTAGAAATGTTTCTTTAGAGAAGGTGAAGAATGTGGAAAAGATTTGTGGGGCATTTCTAAGAGAGCTGTCAGTGGGATCTGCAAGAGGATGACATTCACTAATATCAGAAAAGCTAATCAAACAATTAAATTGAACATTTAGGAAGGATGTCATTGTCCAAACCAGATAGAATGTTAGGGAAATAAAGATTGAATATATGATCTGGGCCTTTGCTGGTAAATTGTAGCCAGAAACAAACTCACTTGGAAATTAACTTATAAATGATTCATCAATAATGACAAATTAGTCTATAGCCTTTTGTGTAAGTAATGTTTCCCAAAACAGTTACATGAACCGTAAGCATCATGGGTAGGTTATTATTTTTTTTAATTTATGGAACAAAAAGAGGAGGGAAGACTAGGGCAAGGGGAGAAAGGGAAAGTGGGGGAGAAACAGGGTGTGAAAGAGGAAAAGAAGGAGAGATATAGACAAGGAGAACTTTGTGCTTTTTAGAGAAAGAGAGTCATTTATATAAAACACTTAATGGTAATTGTTACTCTTCCTTTTATTGGTTGGTATGTTTAAAGGCATGTAAGTTATTCAGGTAATATTTATAATGCTTTTTCATAGGCTAAGATGGCAAAGTAGTTAACTTGATCTTTAATTGCAAAATTCATTCCTCAAGTTGACTAGAAATGATTTGTGTTTAGCAAGACACTATTTTCCATTACTGTTTTCATTGTTCCTTGTCCTCAGCTTCTTGCATTGCTGTTGCTTTGTCATTTGTGAATGATTTGATGCCATTGCCAAGCCTTGTGCTTAACTTGCACTGTTGTTAGCATGTTAGCATACATTTTAAGACTTCTGGTTTGGTCTTTAAAACAATTTTACCTAGATTCATTTTGTTGGTATATGCCACGCTGGAGAATATCCAACCCTTGAGCCGTATAATGTCAGCAAAATCAATTGTTATGGTCCTGCCAAGGCAACTACAGTTCCACTAATCACAATGTTGTTGTTGTTATGTGCTGTCAAGTCAGTTCCCACTCATAGTGACTCCGTCATATAGGGTTTCTAAGGGGAGGCTGCTGAGCTTGTACTGCCTACCTTGTGGTTCAAACTGACCTTGCAGTCCAGTGAAATTAACCCACAGCACCTCATTAATTAAATGTTTGACCAAAGATGTTGTTGTGAAGTGCTGTAGAGTTGGTTCTGACCCATAATGCCCTTATATAGGGTTTCCAAGGAGTGGTTAGTGAGCTTGAACCATTGACCATGTGGATCAAACTGACTTTTGAAATTCAGTGCATTAATTAACAGTGCCACACTAGGACTCCAGAACTCTAAAGATAGCAGGCTATTTTTCAAATTGATAATTTTGTATGGCCTCCAAATGATGTTATTTATATATTTTGGCAGAAGAAAGGTTCTCTACCCCTAGTAAACCTCAGATCAGGACTAAGATTCTGAATTCCTAACATTCAGAATGAATATTTTCTTGTTGCTGAGTGCCACTGAATGGTTCCAACTCATAGCCACCATGTGAGAGGTTTCTAAGGAGCAGCTGGTGGATTTGAACTGTGACCTTGTGTCCAGTACTTATCCACGAGTAAGATGTATTTGAAGAAAGCTTCTTTAATCCAGACTTTTTTGTGTGTTCTTATGCCTGCTTTCAGAAAAAATAAAAAATAAAAAAAATATTATAGCTAGTTTGCTTCTAACAAGCAATGTTATAGATTTAAGAATTTTTCTTATTGATTAGAATTGTTAAATAACTAGACTGTGTTTTATATTTTTAGCATATCTGTTCATCCTGATATAATAGCTAGTAAGCTTTATGAGGACTCCTGGTGTGGTACTGTAGCATCAGCACTGGATTGGGAACCACAAGGTTGGCGATTCAAACCCATCAGTTGTTTCTTGAAAACCCTATACAGAGTTGCTATGAGTTGGAACCAAATCGACAGCACTTAATAACAACAGGTTTTATTTGAAATGCTGTTAAGTACTACGAAGTCGGTTTTCACTCACAGCAACCTTGTATAGGGTTTTCAAGGAGCATCTGGTGGGTTTGAATTACTGACAATGTGGTTAGCTTACAGCGCCACACCAGCATTCCCTTTGAAAAGTAGAGCATGTGGTTTGTGTATGACTAGTTTTGTACATTCTCTTACTGATTCAGATAAGATTTAATAGTGGGTATTTTGATTTTATAAGCTATACAGATGATGCCAGTGTTCTTTTACAAGTAATGTGTTTTTTTCCTCGTTCTAGGTCCTTTTGTTTTGCATCACAGCTGCCATGTACATGTTCTTTTTCAGGTATGTTCTGTTCTGCCTATATATTTTAGTAACTAAATAGTGTTCCTTTGTGATTTTTTTAATCAATAAGGAGAGTAAACTATTCCCCAAAGAATTCTCCCTCATAAGTGGCATGAGTTGTGTTTTCACGAATGGTCAGAGATAAATCACTAGTCCTTAGTGAGTAGAAAAAGAGAATGAGAAGGAAGGAAGATTTGTTTTTTCAGTTTGTAACCACAGTAGTGTGGGGGGATAGGATTTTTAATTAAAGGGACACTCCATTTCTTCATAAATTTCATTTTTTCCTCATTCCTGTTATACTCGTTTAGATAGAATCTTTCTCAGTTTTTCTGGATATATGCAGAATTCAATCACAGAAGAAGTACAAGCCCTTTACAATTTGTACTTAATTGATAGAGGCATTCATGGATTGTTAATAAGGTAGATTTGACCAATATATCTATCTTTAAAAAAATTTTCTTATCCTGAATAAGACAGTGCAACCATACAAGAATTTTTGTCATTAAATTGATAGAGCTTCATAACAAATATTTGATAAAATAATATTTTCAAATTTTTGTGACTGTATGACAACATAATATAGATAGACAAAATGATGGTAGTCTGAAGGAACATCCATCTAACTGTTAAAAGGAGGAACAAGTATAAATATTAAGTGTTGTTGTTTTTATGTGCCGTGGAGTCGGTTCCGACTCATAGCAACCCTGTACAGGGTTTCCGAGGCTGTAAATGTTTACGGGAGCAGAAAGACTCATCTTTCTCCCGTGGAACAGCTGTTTTGAACTGTAGTTTTGAACTGCTGACCCTGAGGTTAGCAGCCCAATTCGTAACCACTAAGCTGTCAGAGCTCCTTATTAACAGTATGGGGGATGTGATATACAGAGGACTGGTAATGAGATGTATAGTATTTTATGTCAGTCATTGTAGTTTTAAATGCCGTCAAGTTGGTTTTGACTCATTGCCACTCTGTATAGGGTTTCTGAGGAGTGGCTGGTGGATTTGAACTGCTAACCTTGCTGTTCAAATCGACAGTGCAGTTGAATGTTTATCCTATAGCGCACCACAGCAGGACTCCTAGTGAATGAAAAGTCACTGCAGGTGTTTGGTGTTGTTACTGTTGTTGTTAAGTGCTGTCGAGTTGATTCCAACCTACAGCGACCCTGTATAGGGTTTCCATGGAGCAGCTGGTGAGCTTGAACCACTGACCTTGCAGTTCATATCTTTGTGAAATTGTCTGGTCTATCCATCATTCTTAATATATCTTCATATATATCATGAGGTGCTGGTGTGGCGCTGTAGAATAAGCACTAGACTGCTAACCACAAAGTCTGTGGTTCAAACCCACCACATGCTCCTAGGAAACCCCAGGTCACTATGAGTCAGCACAGATTCAGGGCACTTAACAACAACAATGTACATCCTAATACTCCTTTCCTTTATTTAAATAGCTTACTATGGGGCAGAGGAGTCAGGAGCAATAGCCATTTCATTTCATCTTTCTGAAAATGTCATAGTTGTATTAAAATATACTATTAGGACAAATTGGGAAAAAGTTCACATGGTTTATCTTTATGTTTTGTCTGGTTTGAAGATAAAGCATACTAACTAGGGAAATGGGATCATAAAAATTAAGAAACATATCTTTCATTGACATGCACAGTAAAAAAATACAATACTAACTAAATTTTATTTTTTTTACAATTCCAACAGAAAAGATTTTTAAATGAAACATTCCTTCCCAATGTAGCATTTTAACAGTGTATCTGATTGGCATTTCTTAGTTGCCCGAAGATTTTGACGTTTAAAATGTAAATTATGTGTTGAATATACTGATAATGCCCAATTTGTAACATGGGTCTAGGAAATTATATTTTGAAACTGCTGCCATCAACCTAGTATTTTTGGTGTAGAAAAAAAAAATTAGCTCTATAAATACGTATTTTGGTGCAGAGCTACAGAACCTTTTCCTGTTTCAGTCACAAAGTCTGGTTTGAAAACAACAGCTTTAAAATACTTTCCAGAAGGCTCAATACAAGGTTTAAGTGCCAAGATAAACAGTTTTAATTTTCTGAGGAAAGAGGTTGTTTTTCTCTCTAAAGAAGCATTATCACCAAATTCTTAGTGTTCTTGGCAGAAGTTAATTTGAATAACTCAACAAAAGAGGGTTGGTTAATGTTAAATAAAGCCATTTATAAAGTGCGACAACCAAACTAAGCAATGCAATTTGTCTGCCTGAACTGCAGAATGTGTTGGCATAAACAAACGATCTTGTACATAGCACTTGAAAAGTCAAGTCCAATTTCACTACAGTATTTTATGCTTACAGTAAGTTCAATATATTGCAGATTTGAAGGCATATTTAATCCATTCATTTATACATAGAATTAGAAATGAAATTGCATAAAATTGGATAATTTACTATCTAATGATAGAGTGCCCTCAATTTAATTTATGTAAACCTCCTTTGAGACGGGGTTAAGGCAAAAATGGTATGAGTCATCTCGTATTTGTATCCTAACTTGTAAATTGGGAAAAAAATGAGACCCATTTCCAATAAAGAAAATAGTTGTGTATATAACTTTGCTTTACTTTTTTATTAAAAGCAGTAGCTTAAGTAGTTCTGTGAGAATTTTCGTAAAAAAACTTTCTGCTGCTTTGTTTTCAGGACAATGAAAGTGGTATTTTAGGTGGTTTTCCAAATGTAACTGTTTTGTTTGCTATTTTTACGGTTGTCAGGATTCAAGAAGTGAATGACCCAAATGTTAGCAGATCTCTTGTATATAAAAATTTATTACCATTGCTGATGTCTCATCAAATCGAATATTCATAGGCAAGATAAACAATAAATCATAATAGATTGCCAGTAAAAGTGACAACTCTTTGAAATAGTTTTAATACTTTATTTCTTGACAATGTTAGTACTAGTTAATTAATCTTAATCATTATTGTTAGTGAAAGTTTTATTTTATTTTATTTTTGTTTTCTTAGTGGAAGTTTTTGAGTAAAAGAGTGCCTAGTAAATGTTTGAAAGAATGATGTTGTTGTTAGGTGCCAACGAGTCAGTACTGACTCATCGTGACCCTGTGCACAACAGAATGAAACACTGCCCGGTCCTGGGCCAGCCTCATAATTGTTGCCACACTTGAGCCCATTGATGCTGCCATTTTGCCAATCCATCTTGCTGGGGGTCTTCCTCTTTTTCTCTGACCCTCCACCTTAACAAACATGATATTCTTCTACAGTGATTGGTCCCGTCTGACAATATGTCCAAAGTATGAGAGATGAAGTTTGGCCATCTTGGCCTCCAAGGAGTACTCTGGCTGCATTTCTTCTAGTACAGATCTGTTTGTTCTTTGGGAGCCCATGGCACTTTCAATATTCTCCTTCAGCACCATAACCCAAAAGCATGACTTCTTCTACACTCTTTCTTATTCACTGTTCATTTTTAGTATGTATATGAGGTTATTGAAAATACAATGGCTTGGGTCAGGCACACCTTAGTCCTCAAGTTGACATCTTTCCTCTTCAACACTTTAAGAAGGTCTTGTGCAGCAGATTTGCCTAATGCAATACATCAGTTGATTTTTTGACTGCTGCTTCCATGAGTGTTGATAGTTGATTCAAGTCCTTGACAACTTCAATCTTTTCTCCATTGATAAGAATGTTGTTTTTTGGTCCAGTGGTGAGGATTTTTGTTTTCTTTACATTGCGATGCAATCCATACTGAAGGCTGTGGTCTTTGATCTTCATCAGTGAGTATTTTAAGTACTTTTCACTTTCAGAAAGCAAGGTTCTATCATCTGCATATCGCAGGTTGAATGAACAATACTGAGTTAAAAATAATTTATGATTACAACTAAAATCTTTAGCTTTTCAGAAACTTCATTGGCTTAGTGAAAAACATAAATGGATTTTAGGAGGCCTATGTTGGTAAGTCCACCACTTGTTTGTCAGTTTGTTGTACCGTGGTGGCTTGTGAGTTGCTGTGATTCTGGAAGCTATGCCATGGTTATTTTAAATACCAGCAGGGTCACCCATGGTAGACAGGTTTCAGATGAGCTTCCAGACAAAGACAGACTAGGAGGAAGGAGAGACGAATTACTTCCAAATATTTAGTCACTGAAAACCTTATGAATAGCAGAGAAACACTTTCAAATATTGTGTCAGAAAATAAGGCCCTCAGGTTTGAAGTCACTAAAAATGCGACTGGGGAATAGCTGCCTCCTCAAAGTAGAGTTGACCATGATGATGCGAATGGAGTAAAATCCATGGGAGTAAAGCGCTTTAGACCTTCATTTGTTGATGGGGCACAACTCAAAATGAAGAGAGCTGTAAACATCCACTAATAATCAAGACATGGAATGTACAAAGTATGAATCTAGGAAAGTTGGAAATTGTCAGAAATGAAATGGAACACATAAACATTGATATCTTAGGTATTTAGTGAGCTGAAATGGACTGGTATTGGCTATTTAGAATCTGACAACCACATGGTTTACTATGCAGGGAATGACAAATTGAAGAGGAATGGTGTTGC